TATATATATATATATATATATATATATATATATATATATAAAGGGGTAGTTTAGACCTAATAAATCAGTTTGGAATGACGCTGACATCTTTACAACACTTTATCATTACTAGTCTCTGAAACTGTCAAATTATATTTCTACATGGTTTTTATGGATTCTTTTTCAGATGAAATAACAAAACAGTATGAACCTGTAACAGAAAGAAAGAGAAATTGTTTTGTGCTCTCAGAGAGGCTCTTTGTGGTCTTTAGCTAAAGAAATCAGACATTTCAATGAAAGCATTTCCCAAAAGACTGGAGGTTTGATTGTTTTCAAGATTTCGTTAAACGTGGGTTTCCTGCACGTACGAGACCTTAGAAAAAAATCTCACAACTGTGCTTTTGTTTTTGTAACCTTTTAAAAACAGTGAACCCTTTCTGCCTTCAGTGGTTCTAGTTAAATGAACAGAGAAAACGAAACATCATTACTAAGTTAATTACATTTTATGAACATAAATAAAAAATAATCATATTGAAATTAAAATAATTAGTTTGTAGTAATCTGGCATTATTTCAGGCTAAGTTTAAGTCAGTCTGTCTTTGTAGCCTTGGCTGTTTAAGTTGTGAGAATGAAGGTTTTCACTCGGTTTTGAGGCAGATTTCAGCAATTAAAAATTTCTGCCTTTAAAAAATATATCTGCTTTCCCTGTTAAATTTCCCCTAAAAATAACTTACTTGGGCATTTATTAACTTTAAGTGTAGGATATTATAGAAATGTATAAAAACATACAAACATTTAAAGAATAGCAAATTCTAAAGTATATCTGTATGGTTGTAATGAAGTAAAATAAAATCTGTTGATTTAATGATAGAGAGCAGAGTGTCTAACATTGTGGGACAATCTGGTACAATCTGAAAATTGTACCAGATTGTCATAAAGCACTTGCATAAAGCAGTTTTGTCCTGGTATCTTGATTTTTTTTATTTCTGTTTTTGTCATGATGTCAGGCAACAAAGCAGCATTTGAATGCTTTCCACAGGTGTGCCACTAATAGACTTAAATTATGTGAATTAACTCACCAGATGTACTGTATACGAAGCCATTATATCATTTTTTTTCCAAAATTATTAAGGATTTTAGTAGTCTTAGCATGTGTAAACTTATGTCTGTGAAATAAGTTATAGAAATTATCCACTTAATTATCCTGTTAATATTTGCCAAGTGTCATGGGGGACCACACCATTTTTAATGGGGCTAGCTGCAGGAGAGTGTGGTGAGAGGTTTAGTTCCTGATGGATCATAGCTTGTTGCATAGAGGGGAGAGTCTGAAACAATGTTTGTGTACAAGGTGGGAGGGGTAAGCTGCATTTTTTTCCTGGACACTTCTGGGTCCAGGACACATGCAGGTCCTAAAGAGAGGGGAGATTGCAGCTAATCACCATCTCTGCTGCAGCGATTATGGGCATGAAATGGAGGAAGGATGCTGTGACATAGGAATGCATAGAATAATTAGGTTAGAAAACTGACAACTCTAGAAATTGACCTAGAACCACTAATTTTACCTTATTAGTTGAAGCTGAATATAGATTCCTCGTTTCATTAGTTATAAGTGGCCCCTGTGTGAAGAAAAAATCCTTATTTTCCTTAATTTTATCATAACGAAATTTAAGAGTGATCGGTCCTCTTTTGGGTTAACTTATTTCAGATTTTAATTGGGTTTTTATTCTGCCAATATATCCACACCCAAATCTCACTCAGCACTGCTCAGCATCTCTGGAAACTGTCATCCAATCCAAGGCTACAACTGAAACCCAGACTACAGCAAATTTAAAGAAGTCATCCTCCCAATTTCCTCCTTTATCCAGAGACATAAATTAGCCCAGTTTGTCATCGTAATTGCTTCTCATGAATCTGAAGGTGGAAACACTTTTTCACAGCAAACAGCTTTGCTACAAGCCCATAAAAGTCACATTGAGATAATTAGTCATTGCTGATACGTGGATACAATGCAGGCCTTGACTTTTTTATTCCCCAGCAGGCTGAAACTGTTTAGGAGCTTTCTGTAATCCTCCCAGAGGAATAAGAACATATCAGTCTCAGTCTAAGAGACGCGACCCCTGCCTGGAAAACCATGGGACTGTTTAGCTTGTGGATTGTTTAAATTCCAGCCAATCAACACACTGTAATGGGAACCCCCTCCTCTAGGAGCAGACACCTTTCCCTGTGCTTGTGTTTATACACCCCAAGACAACTTTAACTCCTAACACATTGTGAAATTTTAAATGGAGGTTTGTCAAGATGTTCCCTGGAAACCCACAGCTTTTGAAAAGTGAACAGTCCATAAATGTCTCACTGCTAAGTCACTAAAGATGATGGATCGCATGGCTAATTAATACAACTTAAAATTCTATAAAATATTATATAAAGAAATCTTATTTACTTTTGGGCACATTTTTTGTTTCTTATATTAGATTTTAAATCATTACCTGAAAAAAATTGTGATTTTTTTTTTTGTGATATTTTGGTTGTATTTAGAAGGAAATATGGTTGCTGGGATCTGTGGTGCTGTTTAAGATATGTTCACACAGAAGGCGAAAATGGCAACTGGAGCAAGTGATTTCTGCGTTGTCACTATCTAAAGGTGCTTTAGGGAGCGATTGAACAGTTGGCAATGAGAGGAACATGTCTCAAGATGCATTGGATGCATGAAGAGGCTTAAACAAAAGGTCATTACAAAAGACAAACTTTTTTTTCTCACCAAAGGTGAAAAAAAACTCTAAAAGGGTTTTTTAGGATGTGTTTACTCTACACTACGGCTGTTTGACGACTGATTAAAAAAGGTCTACAAAACATCAGATTCTATGGGATATCATAAGCATGCTAAACACACGATTTGACAAGATCATTACCCCTCCACATTCTACCCACTTCCCTGACTATAGCTGTATTAGATCAAGCCCCTAGACATTCAGACTGCTTGTAAAAAAACATTCCTGCAAGAAAGCGTTGCTCTCTGGAGCTCAGTGAATTCCATCATTGTTTTATCCTACCTGTGTAATAAATCCTGCATCACAGGCAGTAGTGTAAAGCATGTAACCACTGACCTTCACTGAAAGGAACTGTTAATGCTTCAGCCCACAGAAACATTTAGGATACGTTTGTGCTGTGCAATAGTTTTGGGACGACCTCTTCCTTTTAAAATGACATGGATCAGTGACTTTGATGTGGAAGAACCTAACTAGGTAGAGCAAAGTCTTAAACCATGAATTAGAGTAAAAAACAGGCAGCCAGATCAAACTTTATTCCCTTAGCTCATCTCTCAAGTGAGCTTTTTCCTGAAAAAGCCTTCTCAGAAGAACGGCGTGTTACTCAAGTTCTCATGTGTGCATGAGTGCTTATACTGCTAAAATTTTCAATATTACAACTACAGCTGTAAGATTGTGTTAATAATAATATATATCATGCCTAAAGAAGCTGTTGCAACGCTTCTAATCTTGCCATGTATGCTGCTAAGCTGAAAACGATGTGTTATGTAGATCTTAACATGTGGAACTAAAGAAATACTTGTGCAATAACAATAATATTGTGCAATAACATGTTTTTAAAGCATTTGTGTTTCATTTGAGGTGCTATCACCATGAGTAGTGCATTTTAATGGGATTGAAGGGTGAGCAATTCACTGTTTTACTGTCATAATGTGATGTGTTTCTTTCACTATAACATCACATTATTTAATTTTGTTAGATTCAGGGATCAGTTTACTGCCTAGAAATAAAATTTCATGCCAAATAAGTGATCAAAATGTTATTTTGTTGGAAATTGTTCTTTACCTCAGATTGGCAGACATACAATAGTACAGGAAAAAAAAATGGCTGTGGTGTTGATGAGACTCACCTTCACATTTGTGGCTGGTTTCACTCTGACGATGACCAGCAGGGCATTTGCATTCGTAGGATCCAACAGTGTTAATACAGTTTCCTCCTGCACACAGACCTGGTACCGCCTGGCACTCATCCACATCTAAAGAATAAGACAACTATTGGTTAAAAAAAATGTGAAGACAGGAAGGAGCAAAAGCTTTGAGATTTAGGACCACTCAAAGCCGAAATGTAAATAAAAGCTTTTAGGCTGAACAACATGGCACCAGTTGCATAAATTGAGTCTTTGTCAATAGAAGATCAGCATTAGCCATTGAACAAACAGGAAAGAACATTTGAACTGTTATTTTCTGTTTATTGTGAGTGTATTTACCAGTATTAGGGGTTTGTAAGTGGGAAAGCTCTTGTAAAACCAGATACTTCTAATCATGTAAACGGTGAAATACACACAGGAACACCCAGTGGGTTTATGTTCAGCTCATTCTCAGTTCAGGATGAGAATCTCTGATTTAAAATGAAATAAAACTGCTTAAAAAACCTACTACATGCATGCAAACAACGGAAACAACCCGTTTTTTATCACCTAAACTAAAATTTACTGTTGATTGTAAAAGATTGTTTAAACGGTTCTATGTGTAAGAGTTTGAAAAAGAAAGGAAGAACAAAAAAAACAAAAAGAATGTGACTTCTGGCCAACATCCTGATGTGGAGCCCAGACTGGAATCCGTACATTTGGATTCATGGTCATGTGTTCTTTGTACTGGTGCCAGAGAGACGATGCTCTTGGCTCTCGGGTGATTAGGTGTCTTTAGTGTGTGCATGTGTGTGGAAGCACGTGAGGAGAAGGCCTAGAAAAGGGGAGAAAAAGAGGTTTTTATTCAGAAACAGAAGAAAGATCAGATTGTGGGGGAAAAAAAAGTCAAGTTAAGGAGTTCATATGTTGGCACACAGGCAGCATGTGAGCTCCTTGGCAGCATCAACAAAAGGAGAATATGATGAGCTAATAAATGACTGCTTCAGCTTTTTGTTAAATTGAGGTTTAAGATTGTTTGGGCATGACATTTAATACTAGATGTGTTTTGTTCTAACAACATCATTATCCTTCTAAATGCGAAGGATCTCTATTGTTAGTAAAAGACCTAAAACAATAAAATACTAATAATGAAAAACTTATGCTGGCATGACAAAAGAAAAAAAAACACATGTCTGAACATTTCAAAAGCTTAATCCATTCAATTCAACTCTAACATAGCTCTACCATCAGGGTAAAGCTTTTTTAAACAGCCTGTAGCCACCTTACTGCAGTACGTTTGCACAATATGTATAATACTCTCTCAAAGAAGCTAAAAAAAAAAAGATCATAAGCCATCTTCTTTAGTTTGTTTTTCTTTAGTGGAAGATTTACACCCCTTTTTCCTGTGACCTTAAAGTAAGGGGAAATGAAACGTATCAGTCCAGTTGTTCAATTACAAACAACAATTTGGGACACAATTAAATCCCATGATGTAAAGTCAAAACAAAACCAGATTTGCAAGATCGTCTTTTTGTTTACAGTATAGTTTTCAACCACTTTAAAGAAGCAGTCAACCCTAATTGCAAAAGCACATAATTTAGTGGAGTTTATATAAATGCTATTATTTCATAACTGATATTGTGCAGTAAAGAAAAAATAAAAGAAACAAGATGTTGTGGTTTTGGTTTTGTTCTAGTTTTATCTCTTAGTTTTCATTGGTCTTATTTTTCTTTCTTGTGTTGTAGGAATTTTTGATAGCATTTGAGTTTTTAGATATTTCCTGTTTGCCCTCTTGTGTCAGTCTCCTTTTCCCTAGCTCCCTTCTGGCCTCTATTCACACCTGCTCCCAATCTGCTAAATGGCCTGGTCTTTGTTTCTCTCTCCCATATAATCTCCTCCTGTTCAGTCACTCTTTGGCTATGTTCACACTGCAACCTGAAGTGACCCAAATCCGATTTCTTTGCCCATATGCAACCTGGATCTGATCTTTTCATGGCTGTCTGAACAACACAGATCCGATTTTTTCCAATTCGACCCAGGCCACTTGGCTGTGTGGTCCTGAATCCGAAACGAATCTGATCTTTTCAAATGCGACCTGTGTGTGAACGACATTAATACCCGACAAAGGAAACTATTCTGCATCTTGCTATGCAGAAGCGACAAGAAAAACAATACCAATGGCAGATGATGATGTGGAGAGCAGTACTTATGTTTAAACATATTGAAAAGAATGAGTTTTTATGGTTGGAAAAGACCGCTAGATGGCCTGTGACGTCATTGCATCCTCTACTGCGCTTGCGGGACACTTGCGTTGTATGACTGCAGTTCATACAGGAGATCACATACAGGTCGCATTTATTTGGAAATATGAACAGAAACAGAAAAAAATCGGAACTCACAAAAAAATCGGAATTAAGCATCAAGGCCTGCAGTGTGAACGTTGCCTTTGCTGGTTTGTCGTCATTTCTTCGCCCCCTTGTTTTGAGTATTCCTGGCCTTCAATATTTTTGGACTTTAGCGGATGTATGTTTTGGATTTTTGCTTCTGTTGAACTTTTTTTTAATTAAACTTCAGTCTGATTTTGGGTCCTGTCAAACCTCCAACCCTAGTCTGACACCAGACAAAACCACAGAAGAAAAATACTTAAAATAGATCTAGGAGTCAAATTTTAAAGACATTAAGTGCAGTTAAAAACAAGACAGGGTATGATTACTTATACAAATGATCAATCTTAGTCTTGTCCAGGTGATAATTTATTGAAGATACAATGTAAATCTCTGCCCTGTAGATTATTTTCTCATTTCTATGCTTTTTTTAAAGTCATAAATCAGGGATTTTTCTGACTAGCGCAGAGAGAGAAAAGCAGGAACTCAGAGCATTTTTTCACTGAATTGAAAACAGAGGATAAGACAACTGAGTGTCTGAACCAAGGAATCGAAACAGAGACAGGTTTTATTACTGAATGCTACACAAGGGAGGAAAGAAGAGATAAGGGACAGCTGTGAGAGACCGAGATGCTGAGAGAATAGGAGTAGATCTAGCAAACCAGTAACGTTTAAGATGCTAAAAACATAACGTAATTATCACACTAATCTCAAAATCCTCTAAAGACTGTAGGAGATATAGAGTAAAAATAACTTAATTACAGGTGAACTTGAATAGAAATTCAAAATCAAAGGGAGATTTCTGAAGACGGTTATAACTCTAACCACATTGCACACTGCAAAAATTTTAAAATCTAAATAAGTCTTTTTTTTCCTAAAAATATCTGCACTGTTTCTTGAAATAAGGAAAACAAGTCTGCCAATAGAAAAAGACAATTTGGATGAGTATGCCATGACTGTGTCAGCCTAGGCAAGGCAAGGCAAATTTATTTTTATAGCACAATTCAGTACAAAGACAATGCAAAGTGCTTTACGAGATTAAAATATAGGAAAATAAAGCAGCATCAAAGCAAGTAGGAAAAAATAAATAAATAAAACATGCAGAAACAAAAAAAGAACATTAAAAACTGTTGGACTGAAGGAAATAAAAAAGTTGAACTAATGATGTTTCAGTTGAACTGTATAACTGGAACAGTCGAAGGCAATCCTAAATAAATGTGTTTTTAGTCTTGATTTAAAGGAAAGCCTACATCAACAAATGCACCAGCACCACAGGAACATCACCACCCGGGTCAACCAACGACCCTGGATGAATGGGGAGGTTCGGAAATCACTAAAATCACAGAACTGAGCTTTCGTTAGATAAATGGATCGATGTTGGACAACTAAATGGATAAGGGTGGGGTGATGAGTGGGTCGGTGGATAAGTGGATTACAGAATGAGTGGGTGGATAACTGACTGGAAGGAGGAGTGGGTGGGTAGATAGGTGGATAGAAGGATGAGTGAGTTGGTGTACTGTATAAGTGGCTGGCAGAATGAGTGGTTGGGTGGGTGTATAAGCACGGCAAAAAATTGAAAACTAAATAAGTAATTTTTTCTAAAAATAAGAGCATTTTTCTTGAAATGAGGAAGTAAGTAAGGCACTTTGACAACGGAACAAGACAATTTACTTATAATATGAAAAAAACAACTGCATTGTCTTATTTCAAGTGCATATTATTTAATCCTCTATTTTTTAAGATTAAAAATACTCATTCCATTGTCAAATCATCTTATTCACCTACTCAAATTGACGGTCGATGCATCTAATTTAAGAGATTTATACTTATTTTGATATCAATTTTGAGTGGATTGAAGGATGAGGGGTTCGGCTGACACTGCTCTGCCTAGCAGTCGTGTACTTAAAGGCTCTGCCTGCTGCACCCCATATTTACTCTGCAATTGTGGTTTTTTTTGTAAGCTTTAAGGTCTCCAAGTTCAAAAGATGATAAGACCAATTACAGGATATCACTTTCGCTTAACAAAACCATGTTTAACGTCTTAACTTGACTATCAAGGGTCTACCAAAATAAATAGAGGTGTAAGTTGTAAGGCAACAGCTTTGTTTTATTGAGTTTATACATAATTATATACCAGTAAGTATTGGAGTGTTTGTTATGTACCATATTGGATTTACAAAAAGAAGGAAAAAACATATTCTTTTACTCTATAAACAAAGCTGAGAAATTGATGGCAGGAACAGGAGCTCCAAACAAATATCCCTGAAGACTATCATTTTTTTTCTGCAAGATGAGGCCTAAACAGGAAATCACAGGTCTGTATGTGAACTGTCGTTAACATCAACTAGTCTGAGGATGTGATGCAGCACGAATTTAGGCTTAAATGATGATGGATAAAGTAATGGTTAGGGTGTTTTTCCCTGCGGGCAGTGTGCAGTGATGTTGTTGTTGACAGGAATTTAAAAGTAAAGAAGTGTAAGATGTGTAATCATGAGGATCTGACCTTGGCAGGCTCCGGTGCGGATGTTGGGAATGAAGCCTCGTCTGCAGGGGTGCGGCTGGGCGGGGCACTGCTCACAGGGGTGGCCCCACGCTCTGCCAATTGTGGCGCAGCAAAGAGTTTTGGTGCAGACAATTCCACTCAGCTGGCCCTGGCACATCTGGTTGCTCACCTGGGTGAAACATGGTCCTGTCCTGTAGTCTGTGGTCAGACAGGGACATGAAATCAGGGTTAGTCATTGATTTAGCATATAATTAGGTACATGAAAAGGCACTGGGT